TTCAGGGTTTAGGGTTTAAGTTACCATAATGGGTATATATAGTAAATAATAGGGTTTCCCCAATGTAGTAACTTAATTTAAGTTCCTTAATCCCTATATTACCCCAGTTTCCATTTCGTTTACTTAATGTAAGTTCCTTAACAGCAACCCAGGTCGTCCAGGGCGTATGTTTACGAAGTCAGCTTACACGGGCTGTCAAGATCACCAGTCGCAAGTCCGACCCTTCAGGATTTGAGCTTTCTCTAATGAGCAAGCTGGACCATCCGAACGTCGTGCGGCTTTTTGAGACATTCATTGATGAAGCTAGAGATGAAATCCATTTGGCCATGGAGCTTTGTAGAGGTGGAGCCTTACCCAGTTATGCCCGTGAGTTCTGGCCTCCACTCGAGGAGGCTGCAGCCGCTGTAATCATGTGGCAGCTGCTTGGGGCCGTGAGTTGCCGGGTTGCTGTTAAGGAAGTTCGGTTAAGTCACCATGTAAAGGGTGTGTATATATATAATATATAGTAAGTAATAGGGTGATTTACATTAAGCTCCTTAGATCCCGCCTATATTATCCCAGTTTCCATTTTGTTTTCCATTTTCTCTTCCAGTTGATTCTCCATTGGGGGATAACACCGCTTACTCCTAAATCCTAAGCCCCTAAACCCTGTTAAGTTCTTTAACAGCAACCCAGGTTATCTGCATAAGCAGTCCCTGAGCCATGGCGACATCTGCCCTGCCAATGTCCTCATGCTACCAGATGGCCTTGGAATTCGGTAATAGAGTTTAGGGTTTAGGGTGGTTTAGGATTAGGGTGTAGGGTTTGGGGTTTAGGCGCTTAAGTAATTCCCCTCCCCTGATATAAAACTCCCCACCCCCCCTAATATTATCAAATACCCCCTTTGATTATTTGGTATGTTATAATGTATTGGGAATATTTCGTATTAGGGTGAGTGGGGGTGGTTTAATGCTAGGGGAGGGTATTAAATGAGCGATTTTAAGACGACATGTTTTGCCTTGCTCGGTACCGAGGCTACATTTCGACCAGCCGCCAGAACAAAATGTCACCAAGCTCATTGACTTTGGGGCCCACGCGGGCCGTCGCACGCATGACTTGCCTTCAACGGGCCTGGTGATGCGAGCTTTGCTGGGCTGGTGTTGCGGCATGAAAGGCAGCTCCCTTCGGGAAACTCCTGTGGCGAAGAAAGGGCAGACGACAGTATACAGTGAGGGAGGTCTAGGGGTTCCCATCAGCAAGCAAGCAGCAGAGCTGATGAGCAGATTTGCGAGTTCCGAGAGCGATACCTCTTACACAACGGAGAAAGCTTTGTGCCACAATTGGTTCATCCGCGCCAGGCGTGGAGAAGTGCCTGTGCGGAAAGAAACGTCCAAAAGAGGCGCAAAGAAGTCCGAGGATCCCAAAACACCGAGAAGCTCCCGCTCTGCCAAGGAGCGTGCCAAGAGCACAGACAAAGGCGGAAAAGACAAGGAGTCTGATCCCAAGCAAGTGAAGAGTGCGAAAGCAAAGCTCGGTGAAGTTGAGGCTGCACCTGTGCCTGAAGCTGGATGGTTTGGCTCACGAGCCCAGCTTCCACGAAATTTTGTTGCGAAGCTGAGGGCGTTCTGTGCTGCAAACAGCGTGTCCAAAGCCATACTCCTTGTGGGAGCCGACTTTCTTGGAGAGGATGCCTCTTTTCCATTATCCTAGTATTACTCGGCTCATATTACCCCAATATACTATAGCAGTTTCCATTTTCGTTCCCATTATCTCTTTATTACCCTATATTCTTGGAGAGGATGCCTCTTTTCCATTACCCTTTTATTACCCCAATATACTATATACTAGTTTCCATGTTTTCCATTATCCCCATATATTCCCCTATATTCTTGGATAGGATGCCCTTGCTCCTGTACGTGCCGCGTTTCAACGCTTGGACGGCTGGTGTCCCGATGGCCTCCTTACGGAAGATGACCTCAGGCGCCGTCTGCCAAAGTTGGGATGCAAAGAGGCGGGAGATTTGAATAATATAGGGGTTATATAGGGATAATGGAAAAGAAAATGGAAGCCACTATATTATCATAGGGGGTATAATATAGCGGGTTTTATAGGGATAATGGAAAAGAAGATGGAAGCTACTGTATTATTATAGGGGGTATAATATAGGTGTTATATAGCGATAATGGACGAGAAAATGATGGAAACTCTAAAATTCACTTTTTGAGGGTTTCCTTCTCAATTTAAAGTAGTCGTGCTATATCTCCAGAAATCCCAAGGGAACCCCCTGAACCCTACACCCCGTCCCAGGTTCCCAAAGACTTGGACCGTTTGCTCATCGAGGCTGATGTCGACGGGGTGGGCGTGCTGGACTACACAACCTTCCTCGGCGTTGCTGTGGGGGCGCAGGTAGCGTTAGGGACCCAAAAGACCAGCTGGATGCGTGGATCCCTCAACAAGGCTCTACGCGCACCATATATATATATATAGGTATATACACCTGGATTGCCGAAACCCAATCAAGAATCAACTATCAAAGCTAATTCTTTACGCTACCCCAACCATCAACTAGAAAACCTGAACCCCAGCAGTGGGAACGTTATGAGATCCTTCTGTCTCTGCGCTGTTTGCCCCTGTGTCTACTGCTTGGTAGCAAATGGAATGGCCCCCTATAGAAATCCGCCCTAAACCTCAAAATCCTAACCCCTAAACCCTAAATACACCCCAAAGAGTATAAAACAACCATACAGGAGTTTCCATGTTCTTTTCCATTCCTGAAAGCATTCCTCCCTAAACCCGAAAAACTAAAAACTCAACAGCTTGCAAGCCTGAAGCCCCAAAGCCTTAAACCATCCTAAACCCTCATCCCTACTTGGAAGGTCAGGGGGACTTAGTAAGTAGGTTGATAATGGGAATAGTTTAGGTTACTATATGAGTTATAGGGAATATAACCTACTTACTAAGTCCCCGTGACCCTCCAAGTAAACTCTAGACGCCACAGTCTAAGGTTGAGGGTCTAGGGTTTAGGGTAATCCCTAAGCCCTAAACACACAGCAAGCCGAACAGGAGTTGTTGAGCAGCCAGCTTGGTCAGCGGGTTTTCAATGTGCTCGATCGGGATCCTTGGCCCATAGGGTTTTGGGGATGCGGGTTTAGGATTAAGGGTTTAGGGCTAGAGGTTTAGGGTTATGGGTTTCGGGATTAAGGGTTTAGGTTTAAGTGTTTAGGGTTTAGTGCCCAATGTAGGTAAGATTCATAGGTTCTTGGGCCCCATGTGAGCCATAGCTTAAACTTCTAGTATCCCCCTCAATAACCCTTTTCTATGACCCCCTTTCAGGAGTTTGGACTATAGCTCATGTAAGCAATGTGTATAGACTTAGAGTCCTCAGGGGTAGATTTAGGGTTTAGGGTTTAGATTTCAGGGTGCTTGGAGCAGACCTCTCGACCTCCCAAAACCTAGAATACAGGGCCCTTAGCCCCACAATAGTGGGCATGTAGGCCATTCTTCTGGATATCATCATGGCCCTTAGCCCCAGCATACTGGGTACGTAGGCCACTATTCTGGGTATTTGGGAGGTCCAGGTCTTGGCTTTTAAGTAGCCCAGACATTGAAGACTCGCTATGGATCCTTCCGACAATTCGAGAAGAACTCTTGGTTTATTAAGGCCCGCAAAAGCTTGGCATACTACCTGTGACTTGTGAACCAGATTCAAAGAGGCCGCCTGCACCCTAATTCCTGCTAAGGATCGAGATGGTGTGGTCTCGGTATCTGATCTATCGGCGTTTCTGGGCCGGGCCGACAAGGACATCTTTAACACCCACTTTGAAAGTGCTTGGAGGCTTACAGGGGTTACCCCAATTATTCAGTAGGGTTAGAATCCCAGTTATAAATAGTTACTAAATCCCATGGGCCTCCAAGTGGTTCTCCAAATTTGTGAACAAGTCGGGTTTTGCCATTATAAGGCCTCAGGGAAACGTATTCAGGAAGTTGCTTGAACTGTTGTACCTAGCATCCTTCACTTGTCTTGGCCCCAAAGTCTACAAATAGTAACTACTTTGGACTATTGGGACCCCCAGGAGTATAGGACTACACCTCAACCCTGTATCACCCCAGCTTCCATGAAATTGTCCATGATCTTTTTCATTGGATTCTCCATTATTGGATCTTATAGTGTGGAAACTCCCATATAACAGCCCTACAGCGAAGCTTCAGGAGCACGATTTTGCACTTCGGGACGGTCAACCCTGAATAGGGTCTAGGGTTTGGGTTTTGGGCCCAGGCCTTACACTCCCCCAAACTAACATGGCAACCCATATAGCCCCCTTTTAGAAGGACTGTAGTCTTTATAGAACCCTTCTTGGGTTTCCATGTTAGTTTCCGGGAGTGTAGTTTTAGGGATGCACGGCCGCCCTAAGTCGTATCCTCTTATCAGTCCGTCACCTTGAGCTTTTACCCAGAAGCCATATACACCCTAAACCCGAAACCCTAAATGGTGGTTTCCATTTTCTTTTCCATTCTCCCTATATAACCCTGTATTGTAGCCCTAAATTAACTCATTCCCTACTAAGAACACTAAACCCCAAAACCCTAATAGCTCCTCAAAGAACCATGGACGGGTCACAGGAGATGATCGAGACCGAGTTGTCAAACCTAGGGATCAAAGCCCCGCTGACTTTCGAGAGCCCCCTGGTCCTTGCATGAGCAATAGTCTAAACGCAGCAAAGGGGGATATATAGGGGAGTAGTATAGGGGTTAGTAAAGGGGACACTAGGAATTTAGACTACAGCTCACACCGTGCCTTCTTTTCAAGTTTGGTGCTTAGGGTTTAGGGCTTAGGGTTTAGCATTGTGGGTATGCGGGCTCTAAGCGCAATCTTTAGGATGTATCGCTGATGATCTTTGCGCTCATGTGGTGGTAAGTCTTTGACGTTTCGGGTCGAAATAAAGTTACCCAAGGGCTCCAATGTAGTTCCTTTTTGTGTTTGTTATGGTTTTTGGGTAAGGGATTATGATATACTACCCAAAAAGGAACTACATAGGAGGGTCTGGGTAAACATTACAGAATCGCGAGCCTCCTACATCTGGGAACGATGCGCGCCAGACGCAGAGAGACAAACACGCCTTGATTAGTGCAGCGGCATCCCCCAAAGCAAGAACCTAAACCCTACAAACCTTAATCTGAAAAACATGGACCCCTAATTGAGCCGAACGTCCTCCTGCAGGATCCAAGTACCAAATACGAAGATCTCAGGCCTCAACACGGTTTAGGGGTTCATAGGGCTCACGGAATCAAGGTTTAGGGTTGATTAAGACTACCGTATTTGGAGCGCAAATATGCACTTTTTTACCCTCATGGCTTCCGCCAAGACTGAGAGCAGCCGAGGACGCCAAAGATATTCGGGCGGCAACCTCCGCATAATGTGTATATATGTACTATAGTCTAAACTCCTTCAAGTGGGTTATATAGGGAATTATATAGGGGACTATTATCGTGGTTATTAAGGGGGATACTAGGAGTTTAGACTATGGCTCCTGTGCAAACACACATGTCCAGAAACCCCGGCATAAATCAGGACTCGACTGGGCTCCATGTTTTTCAAGATCCTAAGTCCCAACCCCCTAAACCTGACACCCCAGACGCCAAGCCCAACAACCCGAAGCCCGTGATTGTTCAGTGGCAAGGCCTAATTGGGACTTCAAAAAAGTTTCCGCACAATCCCACAATAATCCTACAATTGTGAATAAGAACCCCTACTAATAAATCTTTCGATGATTTCTACATATCCCTATGATACCTACGGGCTCCAGAGCAACAGAGGCTCCAAGCCCTGACCCTAAGCCCTGAACCCTAAACCCTAAACCCTGTAAACCTTGAACCCTAAATCCCACACTTGGAGGGTCATGGGGACTTAGTTAGTAGGCGAATTGGGGATAATTAGGGTTACCTATATGGGTTATAGGGTTTTCAACCTACTTACCAAGTCCCCCTGACCCTCCAAGCGCCCTGGCCGACCTAGGCTTTAATCGTATCTTGAAGGATTTTGCCAAGCGGCAGGAGGAGTTTCAGGAGCCAGCAGATCTGGGGCTTTGCCTAGCCCTAAGGGCCCAAGGACCCAAATAATGGGGTTTTAGGGCTTAGGGTTTAGGTCCGAGGATTCAAATAATGGGGTTTTAGGACCCAAATACTATAATCTTAATGGTANNGTCCTTGGACCCTTAGGGTAGGTGATATTACCCAGTAAGAGCTGCCTTAACGGAAAGGGTTCGTTTAGAAACCCAATAATTTAAGAGCATGACTATTCTGGTAATTACAGAGTTTGGGCTTTAGGGCCCTCAGCATGAAAATTTATTCTTATGCAAGGATGTCCCTCCAGATTGCAGGTCTGCTGCTATTAGTTGCTTGCGTGGATAAGCTGAGGCATTAGTTCAGATTGTCTTGCTTAGTATTTCTGTTGCAGATTCAATCGAGAATCCACGAGCTGTGTTCTCTTCCCTAACTACAACCCTTCCTTGAGCATCTTTGAGGGACCCTGGACTTAGGCACTATGTTATATCCACCGAATTAAGCCCATTGTGCGCCTATTGAAATCCTTTTAAGGGTCCCTGCGAGCTTCTGGACGCTCTTCCCCCACGTCTAAGACCTACGGGATCCCATCTCCTTCGTTCGCCAGGCCCCCCGCTTTGCTGGGTTGCTGTTAAGG